ATAAGCATAATTACTTTTTTTTTTCAGTTACTAGGATTGATATATAATACTATATTTACTGTTGGTCATGGAGTTATTTTTATTTTTCTAAATGCCAATCAGCTTTGATTGTAATATACTTCCATTGTCACAATTCTCAAGTAGTTTTTACAATCTGACTATGAGGATGCATTGGTTCTGTGTTTTCATTCTGATTTTGCTCCCTGTTGAGGGGTGGTATCTACCACCAGGTTCTAAAGGTGGTTTAATTTTGACCAGTAAAGTTTACTCCACTCAGGTAGGTGGATGATTGCAAGCTAAGCCCCCACAATTTCAACTGTTTTTCAATTATTTTAATAATAATTTCAGTGTTTTCATTGGTTATCTTTTCACCAATTTTTAAAGAGCGTTAGTGTTCCAGCTTCTTTCCCCTTAAAGAACCTTCTAACTGGCAAAATGCTTATCGGGGATTCTTTTGCTGGTTTATTTGCCATTTATTTTGATTGACACAAGGATTTATGGCTGTTTATTATTTTTGAGTTATGCGATTTATTATTTATGGCACCAGCTTTTTGCACTTAGGAATTTAGGATATATGCATGTGGGTTTTTGTTTGCCTTCAGGATCCCCATTCAACACTAGAATAATTTCTTACAAAACAAAATGTAATAATTAAAATAAACCAATTAGCAATATTTAAACAGATTCAGTATTGGGTCAATAAAATACCTTGTGCTCCAGACATTCTTTGCATGTCTAAAACTTTCACAAATACAATAAAAATTGTAGGTGTTATTTTCAGGGCCTTCCATGAAAATTTTATTTTATTTTTTATTCCCATTTAGAGCACAGATTTCTCCATACCTTGTACCCCTATACCTCCATAGCTTAGCCATTCCACAGAGTCAATAGGGTTTCCATCATTTTGCTACAAATAAATGATGTTCAACAAATAAAAGAAACAAGAAGCTCATGCAGTATTTATTAGGTAACAAATATCTACATCAAACGGCTTTTTATAGCTCTTTTCTTGTCTTATTTTCTGAAGGATTTAGTTTGAATGCATATATGAAGCCAATAGAGGTAGCATTATAAAATGACAACCACAGAATATAACAACTGGCCTATTTATTTTCTGTTAATTGGCAGCGAGTTCAGAGCTAAAACTGACCATCTCTGCATATTTACTTTGGAGAAATGGGCTATTCAGAATGGTCTATGAATATCCTTCTTGCATTTTTGCTGCATTCCTTCCCCTAGGAGAAAGATAGAAAGAGACAAAGTTTATTTTATTGCACTTGGAGTGCTCACACCTTGTGTGTTTAGAGATTATTCCAGCTTCACAGTCTTTTTTTGATGACCCTGCCGATCATTCTTACCACTGTCACGGACATTCACATGCCGAGTAGCATTGCACAGGAACATTGCAGAAAATTCACCTGCAACCTGGCTGCACTTTATCAGTCAAATGTGGTAAGAGATGGAAGGGATGTGTTTGGTTAATAGGAGATGGAAGAGACACATCGAGTGGAAATGGATTATTGAGATAGATAGTCTTTTAATGTAGGGATATAGAATGGAAGGGATATATAATAAAGGAAAAGATGGAATAAAAGCACATGGAGTGAAAAAGAACATGGAAGTCAGGAATACAGATTCTTGGACTTGGAATGAGAATGTATTGAATAATATAGGCACAGTGTTAACAGTTGAAGATTTGGAATGGTTGGCTGGGATAAAGTTGAGAGACAATGGCATAAGTCAAAAGATGCAATCAAAGGATCACTGAGTGATTAATGGACGTGGATAGAGAGGGGTGTTCCATTATGGAGACAAAGTGGTGGATATTGAATGAGATGGGGTGGAGTGATGATGGATGGAAAGGGGAGAGAGACATGGAAGGGGGTTGTCACCCCCACACACACACACACTATCACCTCACACACACTGTCACCCTCCCACACACATTGTCACCATCATTGGTGGCAGAGAGATGGCACAGAGAGGCTGGTAGCAGAAAGATGTCACAAAGAGGCTAAGGGCAGAGAGATGGTACAGATAGGCTGAAGGCAGAATTACATTGGCAGGATGTTTGGGGGCACATGTGGCTCATTTTCAAGATATACACATTTTATGAATTTTCTGCTCTTTGGCATGATATCCCTAGTTTATGTATTATTTGTTTAATTGGCATAATATACCTAGTGTATGCATTAACTTTCCATTGGCATGATATATCAAGTTTAAGTATTTATTGCTCATTGCATGGTATACATAATTTTTGTATATTCTGCTAATTTACATGATATACAAGGTTTATACATTTAATGCATTAATAGCATTCCCTTTGCCTCCAGGATATATATGTGTCACTGTGCTTATGTGTGTGCGCGCGCCTGCATGATGGGAGCACAGGAGTCTTGAAACCAGACAGCACATTGTCTTGGACCAGCCCAGTGGAATTGAAAACATATGAAAAGTCAAAACTGGTTACTAAAATTTTTGAATCCCACTACTAATTAGAGCAGACTAGTGATGATGGTCAATGTGACAGGTATGAAGTGATTTCTTTAGAGAGTCCTTGTACCTCTTCTTTGGTGCTTCTCTGTCGCAATTTGCAGTGGCAAATACACCATAAAGCACAATCTTAGGTAGGCAACGATCTTAAATCCTGGAGACATGCCCATCCTAGTGCAGCTGCAACTTCAAAAGCATTGCCTCAATAAAGGGGGTCTCTACCTGTTCGAGAACTTTGATGTTGGTAGTAATGGAAGTAATTCCAATGGATGCTGAGGATTGTGTGGAGGCAACATTGGTTAAAGTGTTTAACGAGTCATAAGTGATGGTGATAGGTAACCCATGACTCAGAGCTATACAGGAGAGTACTCAGTATGACACTCTGCCTCTCTTCAGATGTTTTCTGTTCCAGACTCTTTTATACAGTCTGCCGAACACTATCAGGATGATACAGTGGCCAAACACACAGTATTAAGTTAAACAGGGAGAAAAAACTAACATAGGTAAACATGTTAGCAGGCCTTAGAATGGCCGGATTTAACATACAAAGAATAGTCAGTGACACAGACAGAAGCATAAACGAATAGACAAAGCGAAGAGGTCAAGTGATAGTGTGGAGTGTGGTATGCCGCCAAGATTCAGGTAAGCTCCTCTCCCTCCTTTCCATGTGACTGCCCTGATCGGGTGCAGTCACCCAGCGGTGGCACCAAACGCGAACTGTGACATTAACTTTTCCAGTCTGCTATCTATCTCTTTGTCGATCTTGACATCTAAAGAGATAATGTACCCAAGATAGCTGAACTTATGGATTGTCTTCAGTTCTGATTCACCAATGATGATGTGGGGATGATGGCAAACTTCACGAGATGCAGGCTGGTAGAGGACTTCTGTCTTCTTCTGTCACTTGAAGTTAAATAGTCAGCCACCAGTGCAATAACAGATATAAACACCGTCCACTCTGTTAAGGTCAACGGTGTCCCTTAGAAGCATCAAGCTGAAAAAGATTGTGAAGAGGGTTAGTGCAAGAACACATCCTTGTTTTGCACCATTGCCTATAAGGAAGCTTTCAGAGAGGTTGTTGCTGCGTCTGACTTAGCCATGTTGACCTTTGTGTAGCTGAATAATCATATTGAGGTACTTAGGGGGACATCCTAGGTTTTCCAAGATTTGCCATATACCTTTTCTGCTCACAGTGTCAAAGGCTTTTGTGAGGTCAACAAGTATTATGTACAATTCCTTATTCTACTCGTGACATTTTTCTTGGAGCTGTCTGAGAACAAATACCATGTTGGTGGTGCTCCTAGTTCATGGGAACAAACCTACTGAATAGCGCTCTCCTGGCTGGTCGGTGAAAAGAAGCAGGTGTTCGTGAAGTTGACCGGTGCTCGGGAAGTCGAGTGTCCAATTTTAGTTCCAGACAATCAATGATCAAGTCCCACTGTCTCCTTTTGTGCGACCAAGATGGCCGCCATTTTCTTTCGCACGTGGCATTAGGCTATACGAACAGTGGCCACACAGAAAGAGCCCTTAATTGTCAGTCTTCTTTGAAGTTAATGAGCCAGGGGGTGGTCGGTGTTCGGTAGTTTTATCTACCGAATGAAGAAAAATCAAAATGACTGCATACAAGGAGCAGTTTCTTCACAGAGTTTTTCTGCAATGGTGGGTACCAGTCTGTTCAAAAGAACCCTTGTAAAGATTTTTCCTGTGACCGAGAGCAGTCTTATCACCCAATAGTTGGAGTAGTCAGACTTTTTTCCCCTTGTTCTTATACAGGGTGATGATTGTAGCATCACAGAGGTTCTGTGGTAGTTTGCTTTGTTCCCAGCAGCACACAAAGAAATCATGAAGTTTAGTGTGTAATGCTGGGCCCCATTACTTCAGGCAGAATTCCATCGATTACTGCTGCCCTGCCACTTTTCAACTGCTTAATAGCATTAACAGTCTCTTCAAGAGTAGGAATCTCATCCAGCTCTAGTTTTATTGGCTGTTGTGGGATGCGATGGAGTGCAGAAACTTGTACCGTGCTGTTGGTGCAGAAGAGAAACTAGATATGTTCCGACTTCCAGTTTAGGATGGACTACCTATCTGTGAGGAGTGTTTGACCATATGCCCTGCACAAGGCACTCTGCCTTCAGGTCACCAACATCTGCACAGAGCTGAGTTTTCTTTGTTTGTCCACCACTTGTTCTTAATCTCTCAGAGCTTGCACTGAAAGTTTCTGCATACAAGGTGGAAGACTGCTTTCTGTGCGTAAAAACCAAAGAAAAGAGGGGCCGTGGCCGACAGCGATACCAAGCGGACGTCTTCTTGCAAAGCTCCACTTGGACCCAGAGAAAAACCTGATAAAAGCCACAAAAAACACAGCGATTCCAACTAAGACAGAAACACCCCCCAAGCAAAGACAATGGGGAGGGAAAAAAAAGAGGAACCAAGGTTCAGTCGTACACCAACAGCCAGATATATGACTATCCTTCGAGAGGCCTGTGATCCCCCAGAGACCAAAGATGGCGCATGAGGCCCAATGTACACCCGAGGCGTCTGAAGTCTCCCTGGAAGAAGAACAGTCAATACCCTCTACTCGTTCAGATGCCAGATCCTACACATCGGAGTCAGAGGAAGACAAGTCTTCCTCAACAAAAGGAGGCATAAAGATACTCTTGGTAGAACTAAGGAAGGTCTGGAGGGCATACTTCCAGAAAGTCCAGATGGAAGTGGAAGAGGTACACCAGAAGGTCCAAGGCCTAGAAGCACGTGATACTTCCAGAGAAGAAAACCTCTGGGCTACCCACCATACCCTGCAAGGGCTCACCTCACAGGTACAACAACTGAGACACACAGTGACCACAATGGAGGCAAGACACAGGAGTAAAAACCTGTGCCTCAAAGGTTTACCCGAGACAGTCAACAACGCACAGCTCCTTCCCTACATCCACAATCTCATAACAGCCATGGGCATTAGATGCAGCACCGATATTCCACAGATCACCACATCATTTCGAGTGTGGAAATCTGTGGCAGCCCCCAGTGAAGAACCCAGAGATGTCATTAAGATGACCCGAGATATCTCTGTTAGGTCTGCCAAAATGACCCGAGCCAGAGAAATGGGCACAATACCTAATAAGGGCCACATGGTGGCTATATACCCAGATACACCTTTCTCCGTCCTCATGGAAAAAAAGAAAACTGGCACCTATAGCCAGGACACTAAGAGAAGCTAACATACATTACTTCTGGGGCATGGAGGGATCCCTCCTAACTGAACTTGGGGGAGAGAGCCAAACACTAACATCGGAGGATGACCCTGAGCTCTTCCTACAACATGCGGGCCTAGCAACCCGGCTGCAGCAGAGAACCTACCAAGAAACCAGAGGAAATAGAGAGCATCAACATCACAGCACGCTGCCCAGCAATAAAGTCAAGAGACTGACACCATTGCTCAAAGTCGCCAAACCTATCTAGATCCTACAAGTAACAGAGGGATCGCACAGCGAACACAGTTGTCAGAGACTCCCTTTGGCGCACCATAATAACCCAACTGCTCCCAGTGGCTCGGCCACTGGTCCTTATAGCCAGCAAAGAGACCAACGAGACTCATTGCAGTGACTACGACTGTGTCGGGGTACATGTCATGGTACCCCGTTACTATACCCTATTACTGTACCCATTATGATAGCCATATGCTAACACATGTTACCTACCTAAATATACTGAAAAAGTTGTATATGCTAATCTAAAGGTAATAAAATACAAATGAAAAAAACAACAAACCAAAGAAAATAAGTTACCTGCATTAGATGGAAGCCCACCTGCCACGTCTAGGCAAACCTTTATCTAATGGCCATTAGAGTTACTAAATAAACCTCCCTTTATTTAAATATGCAGGGGTTTGGGAAGAGTGCAGGTAACTTATTTTCTTTGGTTTTTACTGTATGTATTGGGGCTGTTGTGTACTATGAAAAAAAATATAGAGAAATACCAACGCTTATTTGTTAAAATATCAATGTGTCTATAAACCAAATATTTCTTATTAGCTGCTATACATCCAAGTGATCCTTTACCTTATCACCAATACAAAATGCAAAACAAGAAAAAGGATGTAGCGCTTTAGATAGTTACAAAATTCATAAATCACCTTTTTAGTTTTAGCATGGAGGCGAACACACTTATTTAGGAGGTGGACTTTTCTGACATATTCAGTATATACAAGAACCTATAAAAAATAATTCAACATAGTGTAGATCATTCACAATCAGGTAATCAATTTCAATTGTAGTGTGTATACACTCACAAACGGAGAGCTATAGGCCCAGCTCTGGTTTGAATCGTCTCCGGGTCCGTTTAGACGACACACCCCTACTGCCGGTATAGATCTTATTCTCTGGGGAAGATGAGAAATACAAACTATTGCGCAGTATTGCCAATAGTATTGCAATACTGCTCTTTTTTTTTTTAAGTTTATTAATACATTTTGAAGTTTTATTCCTTGATCCTGGTTCCCAGCATTTGAGTCCAGAACAGAAGGGAGTGAAGTCCCTAATCTGCACAACACCTAAAAATTGAGTCATTACTGTATGACTCCAGATTTGTAAGTACCCACTTGGGATTCTTTATTTTACACTAGAAATACTACTGGCAATACTGCACAATTGTTTGTATTTCTCATCTTCCCCAGGGAATAAGATCTATACCGGCAATAGGGGTGGGTCGCCTAAACGGATAGTTTGTAACTATCTAAAGCGCTACATCCTTTTTCTTGTTTTACATGTTGTGTACTATGGTCATAGCTGCCGTTCAAGAGTAGTGGGACTTTGAGCTCAGGACTTGTGTATTTGCTTTCCTATCAGCATAAGATGGCTGAGCAAGATGTGTCTGGTGAGCAAATCTCTTCTTCATCAGCAATTCTGGGATCTCCTGATTGTTCTCATCAAACCAATCTTTGTTCTTCTTTGTGGTGAACCCTAAAACATTTTCTGAGGTCTGCAGGATGGCAGATTCTCACAAAGCTCTCCTGAGGAAGGGTCAACAAGACTGCTGAAATCCTCGAGTTTCAGCTAAAGACTTGTTTGAAATTCACCTGCCGCATATTTACTATTATGTTAAAACTAGTAACTGGGCAGCCATTGCTGCCTAATTGTTAGAAAAGACCCCATCCTGTGGGGGTGAGGTTTGAAGGTTAGACATAATCTTCTCACTGAGGCCCCAGTAGTAGTAATTGGGTTGTGTTATTTTAAATGAGTATCGGGGGGGTAGACAGATTGGTTGGGAATCTGCTATAAAATAAAGATGGAGAAAACCCTTTCTCCCACCATCTCTAGCTGTGGTCAGCAGGTGGGGCTATTAAAATATTCAGTGTAGAGGTCATAGTGCCCCACTCATTGTTGGTGGTGAGAGCCCTAATGAAAATTATCAAGGGGTAGGACCTTATGTCAATGGGCAATGGGTGTGAGCCCTAATTATAATATTTATTTGTGGAGGAGAGGGGGGAGACCTAGTGTCTACCCTAGCCCCTCCCACCAGAATGCCTTGACAGCCAAGTCTCAAAAGAAGTGAACCTTCTTACTCATATTGCAAAGTGTGGGAAATTTTCCTGTGCTTCGCAATAGCTGATATAATGGGCTTTTTCCACTATTAGAGCTCAGTCTGTGTGGAGCCCTCCATTTGCAATGGAAGAGTGGTCAGGCAAAAAACATGGTACTTAACATGAGAATTAAAATGAATTGCACTTGATTATTAATTGAAGCAGGGTCCTGAGATACTGACAGTCTCTGCACTCTTAAAATACTTAAAGAAGAATAATAAGAAGAAATATACCAGAGTGGAGTCTCCTCCCTGAGGAACGATAATACTGCACTGGTTCAATGTAGCCTTGGCTTTAAATTGCCAGCAAAACGACCATGGCATCGGTGAATAAAGAGATTTAAAGCAACAAATGCATGCATAGAGACCTCCAATGGCATCCATCAATTACAACAAGCAATTGATCTGCGTCAGCTAAGCCAGCGAGGGTCACTCTCAGCACAATCTACATGCATTGTTTTCTGAGACCGAGACACACATACTTACTTACATATAATATATGTTATAAAATATATAACATTTAGAAAAGATAACACAGTAACATCCAGACTTACTACCTATTTGATATGATACTGGCCATAAACAACCAAAGCCAATGGTGTTTACAAGATATAGTAACAAATAATGGCCTTGATTTTATATTTTTGGACAAGTTTTTTTAAATGATTTATTATATTTGAATGCAGTTTTTAAATGATTTAATATTTTGAAAATATTTAAATGTCTTAATAGTTTGATATTTTTTTGATATATTGATATTTGGTTGCATAATTTTTTTTTTTAAATATTAATGCTTTGAAAAAATCCTTTTAAAAGTTTATCCAAAACTAGTAAATAAGCCAATTTTTGTTTCTTGTTAGTAGCTGTTTGATATCATTTTATCAATGTTGTCTCATTATTTGATTTATTTGACAATTATAGTTTTTGTTATTTGCTTTTCTGCTAGGTATACATCTGACAGTAGCAGCAGACATTATTAAAAGCATATGCCAAAATAACTTTAAAAAATTGTCTTCATGGAGAAGTCAAAAGAATTAATGTAATTATTCATAGCGAAGAGTGTAGTTTATTGCTAGAAATGTAACTGGTATTAGCATAACAGATGTGTATAATTATCAGTGTGTTTTTTTTGTTTTTTTTAATTGAGAACACAATGGATATAATGAAAGGGAAAGTGAGTGATATAACCTTTACATTTTCCCTATTTTTCAGAAACAAGTTGCCATGACTTTATTTATCCTAAGTATAATCCTTTCCATTCTTGTGTTGGATTCATAAAACATGTGACAAATAATGAATAACTTACAAAATGACAACGGTGAACCAGATGATAAAAAAAAAAAATGCATTTAACCATTATTTCTAATTCTTTATTTTGGTTGTGCATATAGTAAGGAGTACAGGCAAACTTACTATACAACAGCAGCATGAGCAAGCATCAATAGACATGTTTAAAGCAGTAAGTGACATTTGAGGAACATGCACATTTTAATAGTAATATAGAAGAGATATGTGAGGGTCAATGCAAACAGTAATAAAAAGAAAGAGTAAACCATGCTTGGTGCTCCAAGGTTTATACTAAGCTTTTAGAGCGATAAGTAAGCAACAGTAGCTGTATTTTGTGTGCATAGAAAACAAGTGAGAGTTACATGTCTGCTGAGTGGCTGAATATATAGGGTACGATAAGCTAATGCATAGATCTGCTTGTGTGTGGCGCAAGATATAGTAACCACTGGAAATATAGATTAAATGTAGACCAAATAGTGACAGCTGAAACAGTGTGCTTACGATTAGAAGTAAGGCATGTCAGCTGTGAGAAAGAATAGTAGGGACCTAAGCCAGCCGGCTAGCCACACTTCAAGGTTGGGGATCTGCCGCCTCCCCCACCTCGTGCGTTGCAGCAGGCCGCAGGTAGGTCAAGTGCCGACAGGAGCCGTTAGTTACAGGCTTGTACTGCTCCGGAGGTCAGTAAGGGTGCTCCCCGGGATGAGATGCTGGATTTAGACCAAGTAGGAATCACTTATGGCTCGTTAGCGATATAGAAAGTAATTTCTCATGAGGAGCTCCGGTTCTATGCGTCCATCTTGGTCGCTTGTCAGGCCCCTTTTTTTCTGAGCAGTTTGTGTATGGCAATGGGAAATACTTTTTAAATTTAACAAAAACATAATTTTTGATGCAGCAGAAGTTTTTTTTTATTCAGATAGCGCAATGTGGATTCAATGCACCAAGCATTTCATTATTTTGTCATGATAAATCAAAGGCAGATGTTGAAGTGTATCAATGTTCCAGCTTTTTATCTTTAGAGAATTAAACAAAAAATATCATGGCTTAATGTTGTTGAAAACTCGGTATGTAAATAATCTATTAATAATAAGCATATGCCATTGTTAAATGTGCACATACCGATATTACAGTTAGTAGATAGGTAGACTTTGAAGGAAGAATGAATGGTAAAGTATACATCTTTATTTAGGAGAGTGGGGTTCTCTGAGATTGTTCCTCTGCATTGCTTTAAGATATTGATATTGCTGCAAAAGCAATGTCTATCCTGTTTAGTTCCTAGCTTGTAGGTCCAGATGTGGCCACACACAGAGTATATGACATGATTTCAAATCAGTTTTTTTATAGGCATCATTTCTCT